CTGGTATCACCAGTCTGTCAGAGAAGATGATGGACATTAAAGAAACTCCATATGGCAAAAAGTAAGTCTATGGGCAAGAAAGTGCCCTTGCCTAGATTGCTGACAGTATGCTGTCCTAATTTGATAAGCAGGACACAAAAGAGAGTGATTGATTAACCTTGTCAAGACAAGGCAGGACAGTCCTTCAAAATATCTTGCTTCATAGAAAATTCTGTTGAATATTCTAGGCTTTTGGGACAAAGACGGATGCCCCGATGTTGCAGAAGAACCTTGGCTGCCTCTGTCAGTTCTCATATTTTTTGGAAGTCGCTTGCTTGTACTTCCTGCTTATTCAGTTAATATTTCCTTTTCAGGCCTCTGAGGGAGTTGAAGACTAGTTACTTATAATTATGGTTTTCCTTGTTTACCAAACTATGAAAAGAAATTCACTAAAGAAATGTAAAGTATATAAGTTTGAGAGATATAGATAATTTTGTGTTGGTAATGCAAGTTAGAATAGAAAATTAATTAGGTACAACACTGGACTATTTTCTTTGAATTTGTCGAATGCAAGTGGATTAGACATTGTTGATGTACTTATTGACTGTGTAGATTGTATTTAGTTATTGTACATATTGTATATAATTTTTCTTGTATTAGTTATAACCTTTTATTATTTTAGAAAAAAAAGGGAATTGTGATGGTATATTGTTTATGATCTACTTAATAAAGCTTGCCTGAAGATCAGAGTGCAGTACTAAGCCACTAGTTATCCATAGAGACCAGCCACCAGTGCACACGCCTTTAATACTAGCACTTGGGAGACAGAGGTAGATGGATCTCTGTTAGTTCAAGGCTACCGTAGGCTACATGAAATGAGAAACGGAGTCAAGAGGTGGTGGCTCACACCTCTAACCTCAGTATTTGGGGGTCACACGCCTTTATTCCCAGCACTAAGAAAGCAGAGATTAGAAGGGATATGGCTTGGCAGAGAAAGGAACATAAGGCAGGAGAAAACAGGAGCACATGAGTCTGAAGTGGTATGAGGAAGCAGTCAGTCTGAGGATACAGTCTGAGGACAGGATCGCCCCTTTGGTCTGAGCACTGGTAGAGGTAAGAACTCTCTAGCCACTGGTTGTTCTGCCTCTATGATCCATCAGCTGGCACTCCCTGAGAGCTCACTCTGAGTTTTTATTATTAAGACCAATTAGGCCGGGCGGTGGTGGCGCATGCCTTTAATCCCAGCACTCAGGAGGCAGAGGAAGGCGGATCTCTGGTAGTTCAAGGCCAGCCTGGTATACAAGAGCTAGTTCCAGGACAGGCAACAAAGCTACAGAGAAACCCTGTCTCGAAAAACCAAAAAAAGAAAAAGAAAAAAAAATGACCAATTAGAATTCATGCTACAGAATCATCAGACAGTTTAATTACTGTCCCATAGTCCCCAAGATGGCCATTCTGCCCCACTGGGTTAGGCTTTGGATGAGGTAGGGCAGAAAAAAACCCATTATCACCTCAGTTCAGAGGCAGACAAACAGGAGCAGCTCTCTGAGCCAGGGAAGGGTCAGCACTTTTGTTCTACTGGGGTCTCTGACTGCTTGCATAAAGCCCACTCACATTAATAAGAGCAAGCAGCAAGCACCTTTATTCTGTGTTCCCATTTAAATGCTAAATTCAGCCAGGCAGAGGTGGCACATGCTTTTAATCCCAGCACTTGGGAGGCAGAGTCAGGTAGATCTCTGAGTTTGAGGCCAGCCTGGTCTACAAGAGCTAGTTCCAGGACAGGCTCCAACGCTACAGAGAAACCTTGTCTTGAAAAAGGGAAAAAAAAGTTAAGTTCAGGGGGCTGGAGAGATGGCTCAGTGGTTAAGAGCATTGCCTGCTCTTCCAGAGGTCCTGAGTTCAATTCCCGGCAACCACATGGTGGCTCACAACCATCTGTAATGAGGTCTGGTGCCCTCTTCTGGCCAGCAGACATACACAGAGACAGAATATTGTATGCATAATAAATAAATAAATAAATAATAAAAAAAAAGTTAAGTTCATCCAAAACTACTCTCATAGAAACACCCAGAATAATATGTCACCAAATATATGGACACTCCACTCCATATCCAGTCACACTGGTATTTAAAATAACCATTACACTAAGTTAGTAATTTAGCAAAACAATTCATTCAACACTTGCATGACTCTGATCTAGAAGGTGCAGGATGCTCATAGCTAAATCATACGCAATTCCCTCCTTCTAGTGTAGGTAAGAGCAATACCCATATATACCACACAGCAGCTAGCACTGAGTGACATCAGGGGGTCCAGAACTTGATCTGTTTACAACAGGAAGAGATATTTTTCTTCCAAAGTACTTCATGAAAAGGCCAGAGCTGCGGCTAGGAAGGTAGCTCAGTGAAAATGACCAGTGGTGAGTATAGGCTTTCGTTCAGAAGACCATCTCTAAATTCCCAGTACCCACGTGAAGACTCACAACCGTCCATAAGTGATCTGACACGCTCATTTGGTCTCCATGGTTACCAAGCACTGAACAAGGTGCACATACCTAGCTACATTATGACAAAACACTCATATGTATAAAGTAAAATAAATAAATACAAAAGAACAGTGCTCCAGGAAGCCACAGGAGGATAACAATGACAATATCATAGGGGATGCGTGTGTTATGCCCAAATCCGCGAACTCCCTGCAAAAGTCAATAAGGAGACCGAGGCCAGAATGTAAAAGCAAAGAGTCTTTATTTTAATCAAGTTTGCAAACTCAGTCACTCTGCATGTCCAACATATTACAATAAATGGAGAACCCCGAGCTCAATTAGAATGGGGTTTTATACAGTAAAGGTGGGGGTGAGAGGTCTCTGAGGTTTAGAACTCCTGATTGGCTGACATTTGTCTAGGGGTGTCCTGGTGAGCATGTTTTGGCAGGTGTTCCTATCTACAGAGGTTGAAATGCCAGGCATTTCCTTTGAATGGTCTGTTCTTGGGTGAAGGTCAGGTAATCTCAGCTTGTGGTTCCTCCGGTTGCTTGAGTAGATCTCCGATTCTGTGGAAAAGCAGCCAGTGCTCTTAACCACTGAGCCATCTCTTCAGCCCCAAACCCAAACCTGCCAACCCAAAGTTCCAATCCCACAATATCTGCCCTGCTCCCTTCTGACCCATCCCTCTCCCTGTCCGTCTGGGCTCTGTTGCAATATGCACAGCTATTTGCAGCTCCCAGAGAAGGGCTACCTCCCATCATGGACCACACTTGTGCTCCTAGAAGGCCCTCCCTCAGCTTCTCTTCGTCCTTGAGAATTCAGCTCTTTAAAAATAGCAGAGCAGGGGGCTGGAGAGATGGCTCAGAGGTTAAGTGTGGTGGTGCGCGTCTTTAATCCCAGCACTCAGGAGGCAGAGGCAGGAGGATATCTGTGAATAGAGAGTTGCAAGCCAGCCAGGGCTACACATTAAAATCTCTAGCTACCTCAGTACAAGCACTTCCGGTGGAGTTAGAAAACCCTTCTCTGTATTCCGAACACCGTCTAACCTTCCATCATAACCACTTGCTTATTTGGCTGCCTTCCTCACAAAGCTGTGAGCTCCTCAGAGACTACCGAATGACATTCCCTTAGTGTGTTTGGTGCCTAATACAGAGCTTAGTGTCTGGGAGCGTTCAATAAAATGTAAATGAAGGGTTGGATGAAATCTATGTGTGAACATACAAAAGGTTTTAATTTGTTTATGTGTTAAGATTTATTTTTATTTTATGAATGTGTATGTTTGGCCAGCATGTGTATATGTGCACTGTTTGCATGCCTGGTGTCCATGGAGACCAGAAGAGGGTGTCAGATCCTCAGGACAGTTGTGAGTCCTAGACCCAAGTCCAAATCCTCTGCAAAAGCAGCAAGTGCTCTTAACCGCGGGGGAGTGGATGCAACACCATCAGCCTTCGGGGAACTGCAGATCAAAGCGGCAGTGAGTCTCACCTCAGCTGTTATAGTCTCCAGGAAAAGTCTACCTAGGTCCTCAAAGGCAGCTGCACACTGGGACCTTCCCAGGGAAACTTGGTGCTCAGCTCCATTACAGCCTTTGGAGCTTGGCTACCATCCTTGTGACAGCGCAGACATGAGCTGCAGGTCTCCTCATGGACACCAGGGGGCGACAAGAAACCACATAATCAAGAGGGAACCTCCCTGAGGCCTGAACATAACTTGCAGCCTTGTCTCCATTCCAGTTCCAACAGACCTGAAGCTCCCTCACATAATCACTTCCTGTGTCTCTGAGAACCCAACTCTACAAGGAGACCCTATGTAGTCCCCTCCCCCTCACAACACCCATGAGAAAAGACGGGGAGGTCACAGGACAGTCACCAAGGAGAACAAAGGCATCCCAGAAGGGTCAGGGAGGGCATGGGCAGACCTGAATCACATTCAGACAGCACAGGAAGCTGGGGGAAGGGGTGTCTCCTGGGGTTCTCCATAGGGAGCTGGAACACAAAGTCCTCTTTCCAGGACACACAGGTCAACTCCTCCTGCACACCAGGATGTGAACCCCTGAGATAACTTGTATCCCTGGATCAGACACCTGACTGGTGACAGCAGTGACCATGGATCTGGTCCCTCCCCAGTCATCACTCAGACCTTTTCCAGCCCCTAGAGATAACTGCCACTCCATCCCCGGAGTAACTCCTACTTTCCCAGAGCATTGAGATCACAGGGCAGACTGGGCTCTGCTGGGTTTTTGTGTCACAAGGAAATACACTCTTGGCTATAAGAAGTGCAGGGAGAAGGCCCTGGGGTGAGCTGCTGTTCTCTCGGGCTCAAAGTTCTAGAACACTGAACCAGAAAGAAAGGAATAGAAGGATGGGGGGGCAGCATTGACACACAGACTCCACCCCAGCCCATGTGACTCCAGGAGGTGTCCTCCTCTGGGAGGAGGCTCAGGTCTGAGAATAAAAGCAGAGCAGACACAAGAGCAGACAGCAGTCTGAGAGGCAAACCTCCTGTCCAGAGGAAGAGCCTAGGCCACAGCAGAGACATGGAGCTCTCCTCAGCCCTTCTCCACAAAGGGCAGCTACCCTGGAGGGAACTCCTGCTGACAGGTGAGGAGACATTCCTCAGGGGTGTGGACAGCAGGGGAGCTCAGAGACTGGATGGGGTCTTCTGGGAGGGGGACTGTGCCTGAGAGGAGACATCTGGCTTCTGCTTGAAGCCTAAGAGCAACAGGAAGCTCGCAGAGAATGTGAATTGGTAAGTGGGGAGGAAAACTCAGGGGTTCCCCACTGCAAGGGGGTACTGGCCTCTGTACCCTGAAGACTGACTCCCACACTGTGTCAGGGTGACTCTCCAAGTAAAACTCAAACTGGGGCCAGTAAACAGAGTCATTTCATACATACGACCCTGAGGAATCCACAAATAAATCCCAGGCACTGGAACGTTGATTTGCTCACAGGTGTCTGAGCCTGTTCCAGGCAGTGGGGTTTAAACCAAAATCAAACCAGTTGTCCCCACAGAGTCCTAGTGCTACTGAGCAGGAAGACAGAGCAGTAAGGACATCTAGAAGGTGGGGTTGGGGTTGATAGGGACTTCAGAAGAAACAGAGCTGGGGAGGTCAAAAAATGAAGGTACGGAGTCTTTAGAGGAGGAGGTCAGAGAAGACATGCCTACACTCACCAAAGATTCTGAGTGTGAGCAGGGATCTGAGGGAGTAAGCGGTTGGCTGTAGGGAGTAAGAAATTGGCTGTGCAGACACCAGAGAAAAGTTTCATTCAGTGGAAAGATTTAGGGGTACTGAGGAATGGGGGTGATGCTGCTGACCTCCACCCAATAGGACACACACACCAAGGCTGAGAGTTGAACACACTCAGGTCTCAATTTCTACCAAATGCAAAGAACTATTATTGATAGATTTTTCTCTCTTCCCTCTTAGCCTCACTTTTGATCTACTGGAGCTCTCCCACCACAGCCCAAGTCACTGTGGAAGCAGTTCCGCCCCACGTTGCTGAAGGGGCAAATGTTCTTCTACTTGTCCACAATCTGCCAGAGTCACTCCGAGTCTTTTTCTGGTACAAGGGACAAACTGTGGATGAGAGGAAAGAAATTGCACGATTTCTAATGTCCAATAATATAAAGAAACCAGGGCCTGCATGTAGCGGCAGAGAGAGAATATACCGCAATGGGTCCCTGTTCTTCCAGAACGTCACTCGGAAAGATGCAGGCACCTACATGCTATATATGAAAAAGAAAAACTTTGATATAAGGAAAGCATTCGTGCAGCTCCATGTCTACCGTAAGTAATTCTCTGTAACCTCTGGGTCATGGGTGGACTTAATCCTACTTCACACATAGAATTGTCAGTGCTGGATGACTGTGTTATGGTCCCCACATTGTGGTTCATCATTTAGTAAAGGACACGGAGTTGAGGAAACAGCAATAAATCAGGATCCCTCACTTGAATCCACCCTCAGAGGGGGGGAGGGAGGTAAATCAGCCCAGGCATGTCAGACTCTGCCCAGGGTCTTAGATGCTCATCATGAACATGGCCTTGAGAAAGACAACTTCAGGACTCAGGTAGGGCCTGGGTGACGAAACCATGAAATTTCCACAGAGACATGAACACTCGGTACTTTGATCCAGATCTCTGCCCCAGACTGGACCAGGAATCCTAAGAAGCTTATAGACTGGGCTGTAATTTGACCTCCTGTTGGAGCTGACAGGGGACAATGATGGATTGTAGGCTGGTAGCCTGCTGACCCTCAGCCTGTGAGAGCCATGTCTGAGGCAGGTCACCTGGGCATCTCCTCCTGAGACTCAGTGTGCTCAGCATAGGTGGAGGGGTATGAAAGACAACCAGCCGGCTGTCCTGATGGTCTTCTGAGACCTCGCAGGAAGGTGGAGAGCCCTAAAGAGATGGGAGAAAAGTGTACAAATGGCAGCTCCCTGCCTCTGGGGGTCCAGCTCTGGGATTCTTTCCTGCAGGCAAATAGTAAGAGACACTGCTTGGTGGAAGGTCAGGGCAGGTCATTGCTCACATTTAAGGTGAACTAGTAGACATGGCAACAATCATTTACCCTGTCTTGTATTCTAAGGAAATTGAGACAGGAAACACTGTCACTGAGTCAGGGTCACACAGACCATACACAGCACAGGGGGCCCCACTGTCTCTGAGAGCTCAGCTACACCATCTTCTTGTAATTTGCTTCCTGCCTCATTCTTTGAGGATCTGGATTTGTGGGAAGATAGGAGACAATCTCTGTTGAAAGAGGCCCTTGCAAGAATTAGAGGCACCACACAGGGCAACCTTCTCTCTGTTGTCTGCACACACAGCACGGCTACCCAAGCCGAAAATCACAAGCAAGAATTTCTATGCCAGGGAGGGGTCTCCAGAAGCATTAATGTGTGAGCCTGAGACTGAGAATACAAACTACCTGTGGAGGAGAAATGGCCAAATCCTCTCAGAAGGTGACAGGCTGAAGCTGTCTGAGGACAACAGGACTCTCACTTTACTCAGTGTTGTGAGGAATGACACAGGAGATTATGAGTGTGAAACCCGGAACCCAGTGAGCATCTCCCGAAGTGACCCATTCACTCTGAACATTACCTGTGAGTATTGTCTGCTTCGTCCTGGCTACAACTGTCTATACAAAGGGCTAGAGCTAGGAAACTCAGTCCCCTTGGGTTGGTGACACAGACCCATCACACAGATCCCTAGGCTGACCAGGGCTTCCTGTCCCAGCACAAGTACATGCAGCCAGGCCCAGCACTGAGCTGGAATGGCTTGAGGGACTTCTCCTACCTAGAGAGACTCAGGGTGATGGAGACGGGGGCAGCTCAGTCTCAGGCTCAGTACACACGTGAGTGTGCAGTGGGGATGTTTGTGTGCTGTGCTCGGGATGGATCAGGGCTTGTGCCTGCTGTATGAATACTCTTCTACTAATCGGCACCCCAGCTCTGGGTGGGGCCTGCTCAACTGAAGTTATAGCACAGCTCAGAGAGATACTATGGCCTTCTGCAGACCAGGATTGCCCTTCCCTCTGCTGACATCACATGTGCCTTTGTTCTGTTTGCTCCAGATGGTCCAGATGTACCGATCATATCCCCCTCAAATACGTACTTCCGTTCAAGGACAAACCTCAACCTCTCCTGTCAAGCAGCCTCTAGCCCTGCAATGTTCTATTGGTATTTCAATGGAAAGATTCTATCAAAAGTCAAAGAGCTCTTTATCCTCAACATCACTACTAATAACAGCGGTTCCTATTCCTGTCTCATCTATAACTATGTCTTTGGAATCATGAAGACCACAGTCAAGAACATTACAGTCCTTGGTAAGTGGATCTCTGAAATATCAGTGCCAGGTTTGGAGTGCAGTCTTTTGGCTTTCTGGGAATATGCAGAAGAATTTAATTTCCAGCCCTTGTCTATGAGAACAAGCAAAACTCCCCTGAGCATCCTGCTCCATCCCTATGTCTGATCTTCTCCTGCTGCTCTGACTCCTCCTGGCTGATAGGGATGGAGCTTGGAATGTGAGGAGGAGCTTCTCCCAGCCTTGGAAACCTCAGGTTGTGGGAGGGACTTCGCAGGGGAGGGAGAGCCTTAAGGTCAAGATTTCTTTCTGTCACTAACACAGCCCTTCCTATCTCCTCCATTTTCTTCTTATGACCTCCATGACTTAGAGGAACAGCCAGGGCTTTCAACTGTGCTCACATTTTTTCCCCTCTAAATACATGGAGAAAACTTCCCACAAATAGGGACCAGCAGTTCAGAGCTCTGCTCCTGTCTCAGGTGTGACTGGCTGAGCTCTGACTCCATGGGAGGGGAAGAGTGGGTGGAGAAGGCACCTGGGAGCCCCGTTCTGACTTAGAGGAAACCATGTCACTGACGACTTGATGATGCTCTTTCCCTTACTCTTCTCAAGGTTTAAAAACAAATGTTGGCTGAGTGTCGTGGTGTGTGCCTTTAAGGCCAGCACTAAGGAGGAAGAGGCAGGGAGATAGTGGGAGTTTGAGGCCAGTCTGGTCTACATAGCAAGTTCCAGGCTAGCAAGGGCTCTCTAGTCAGACCTTGTTTCAAAAGAAGTTCAGAGTGGCAGGTTGTGGTCAACACTGTGATCCCTCTCTTCTTCTCTGTCGTATTTATTCCATCTCCATGGAGCAGGATATAAATTTTTTCTTAGAACAGAAATTCTTTAGTTTAGAATTTCTCCCAGTCCTGAGGTGTAGGCTTTGACACCTCTAAGATTCGCTTGGACATCTTAACCCCATGATACATTATTTAATGAAAAAGAAACAGAAGGATATTTTATAATAGAGGGACCTGACTGCTCATACTCATAGAAAGTGTGAGTAAGAATTTGCACAAAAATCATTGGAAAAAAATTCCTATGATGAGGTTTGTGGATATCTGGACTGAAGAGGTTCCTCTGTGGAATCTACAAAAAGACCCTGAGTCAAGGGTCAATGTGGGTGATCTGGGTTGGAGGAAGGTTCAGCTCTCTCTTTACAGATTTTATTTGAACCCAAACATGCGATCTTCCAGAGGGCCATGTCATTCTCTGGGCCCTGTGAGCTGGCTGAGATCTCTGAGGATGAAGGATTCTCAGCTGTCCCCTCCACTGTTTATCCACAGAGCCAGTGACTACACCCTCCATCCAAGTCAGCAACACCACAGTCAAAGAACTGGGCTCTGTGTTCCTGACCTGCTTCTCACGGGACACTGGGATCTCCATCCATTGGCTCTTCAATGGTCAGAGTCTGGAGCTCACAGATAGAATGAAGCTGTCCCTGAACAACAGCACCCTTAGCATAGACCCTGTCAGGAAGGAGGATTCCGGGAAGTATCAATGTGATGTCTCCAATCCAGTCAGTTCTGAGAGGAGTGACCCTATCCAACTGGACATAATAGGTGAGCGACCTCCCCTCCCTTCTTACCCCATAGTGTTGGCGGTGGGGCAAGTTTTTAGCAACAGTGTGCAAAATGTGTAAAAGTCACCAGGAGAAAAGCATGGCTCAAGATACAAACACAGCCAGCTTGGTGATGGATGCATGATAATCTCATGACAAAATAACATGTAAGCTGAGTACTGTGCTGCATGCCTTTAACTTCAGCCAGCATACCAGAGCTAGAGATAGGTGAATATCTGAGTCCCAATCTCCCTGGTATTTGTAGTGAGTTCCAGATTAGCAGGAACTACATAGTCTCAAAAGAGAATTTGTGTGGAGGATTAGAGCAGCAGGCCATGGTCAACACTGTGGCCATTCCCGTCTTCTCTGTGGTAATTATCCCATCTCTGTGCAGCAGGAAATAAATTTTTCTTTAAACAGAAATTCTTTAATTTGGGATTTCTCCCAGTCCTGAGGTGTAGGCTTTGACACCTCTAAGATTTGCTTGAACATCTTAACCCCATGACACATTATTTAATGAAAAAGAAACGGAAGGCTATTTTATAATGAGGGACCTGACTGTTCACACTCACAAAACATGTGAACAAGAATGTGTAGTGATATGTCATTTATATTTTAATAAATAAAGCTTGCCTGAAGATCAGAGAGTAAAACAATCCACACTGGCCATTGATACAGACCAGACAGTGGTGGCACACAATTTAACCCCAATAGCCACATTATTTGGCCATAAAAGCCAGGCAGTAGTGGTGCACACCTTTAATCACAGCACTAGAGAGAAATACAAGATGGGAGGAGACAGCTCTCAGACAGTCTAATGCTGAGATTCCTGGAGGCAGGATCACCACTTTGGACTGAGGTAGAGGTAAGAGCCAGTGCCTGGCTGCTTTGCTCTTCTCTCCTTCAGGTTGAACACAATATCTGTCTCTGGGTTTATTAATACTGTTACATTTGGTGCCCAACATAGGGCTCAAACTCATGAAGCTTGGATTAAGAGTCCCATGCTCTACTAACTGAGATAGATTATTCTTTTTTATTTTAGGTTTTTAAAAAAGGAAGGGGAATGTAGTGATGTTTCATATGTATTTTAATAAATAAAACTTGCCTGAAGATCAGAGAGTAAAACAGCCACACTGGTCAGCCTTACAGACCAGGCAGTGGTGGCACACAACTTTAATCCCAGTAGCCACACTAGTTCACCATAGAAGCCAGGCAGTAGTGATGCAAGCCTCTACTCGCAGAACTAGAGAGGAATATACAGTGGGAGGAGACAGCTCTCAGTCAGTCTCATGTGATTCCAGGATCGCCATTTCAGACTGAGGTAGAGGTGACAGTGGGTGACTGGTTTGCTTCTCTGGCTGTCAGGTTGAACCCCAATATCTGTCTCTAGGTTTTTATTAATCCTAGTATAAGAATTTGCACAAGAATCAATGGAATAAACATTCCTACAATGAGATTTGTAGACACATGGGCTGAAGAGGGTCCTAGTGTGGAATCTACATGTATACCCTGAGTCAGGGTCACTATGGATGATCTTGGTAGGAGGAAGACACAGCTGTCTCCTGAAAGAGCAATCTTGAACCCAAACATGCAAGCTTGCAGAGATCCACATTATTCTGTGGGTCCTGTGAGCTGGCTGAGATCTCTGAGGATGGACTCTCAGCTGGGCCTCTCCACTGTTTATCCACAGAGCCAGTGACTACACCCTCCATCCAAGTCAGCAACACCACAGTCAAAGAACTGGACTCTGTGTCCCTGACCTGCTCTTCAAACGACACTGGGATCTCCATCCATTGGCTCTTCAATGGCCAGAGTCTGGAGCTCACAGATAGAATGAAGCTGTCCCTGGACAACAGCACCCTCAGCATAGACCCTGTCAAGAGAGAGGATTCCGGGAAGTATCAGTGTGAGGTCTCCAATCCAGTCAGTTCTGAGAGGAGTGACCCCACCCAGCTGGACATAATAGGTGAGCGACCTCCCCTCCCTTCTTACCCCACAGTGTTAGGGTTGAGGCAAATTTTCATTAGCAGTGTGCAAAATGTGTAAAAGTCACCAGGAGAAAAACATGGCTCAAGACTCAAATACAGTCAGCTTAGTGATGAATGCATGTTAATCTCATGATAAACACCACACAAGCTGAGCACAGTGCTGCATGCCTTGAACCCCAGCCAGCACACGAGAGGTAGAGACAGGTGGATGTCTATGAGTTCCCAACCTCCCTGGTCTTTGTAGTTCCAGGTTAGCCAGGGCTGCATAGTGAGACCCTGGAGAGAGAGAGAGAGAGAGAGAGAGAGAGAGAGAGAGAGAAAGAAGAGACAAGAGAGAAGAAGAAGAAGGGGAAGGGGAGGAGGAGGAGGAGGAGGAGGGGGAGGAGGAGGAGGAGGAGGAGAGAAGAGGAGAGGAGGAGGAGGAGGAATGGGAGCACAAGGCCAGCCCAGGTAACATTGTGAGACTCTGTCTCAATAGAGAATCTGTATGGAGGATTAGAGCGGCAGCTGTGGTCAACACTGTGGCCATTCCCGTCTCTTCTGTAGTACTTATCCCATCTCCATGCTGCAGGCAATAAATTTTTCTTCAAACAGAAACTTATTATTTCGGGATTTCTCCCAGTCCTGGGATCTAGGCTTTGACACCTTTAAGATTACCTGGGAGATCTTAACCCCATGACACATTATTTAATGAAAAAGAAACAGAGGCTATTTTATAATAGAGGACCTGATTGCTCATACTCATAGAAAGTGTGAGCAAGAATTTGCATAAAAATCAGTGGAAAAATATTCCTATGATGAGATTTGTGGACATCTGGACTGAAGAGGTTCCTGTGTGGAATCTACAAAAGGACCCTGAATCAGGGGTCACTGTGGGTGATCTGGGTAGGAGGAAGGTTTGGCTCTCTCATTACAAACCGTATCTTGAACCCAAACATGCGATCTTCCAGAGGGCCATGTCATTCTGTGGGCCCTGTGAGCTGGCTGAGATCTCTGAGGATGAAGGATTCTCAGCTGTCCCCTCCACTGTTTATCTACAGAGCCAGTGACTACACCCTCCATCCAAGTCACCAACACCACAGTCAAAGAACTGGACTCTGTGTCCCTGACCTGCTCCTCAAACGACACTGGGATCTCCATCCATTGGCTCTTCAATGGTCAGAGTCTGGAGCTCACAGACAGAATGAAGCTGTCCCTGGACAACAGCACCCTCAGCATAGATCCTGTCAAGAGGGAGGATTCCGGGGAGTATCAGTGTGAGGTCTCCAATCCAGTCAGTTCTAAGAGGAGTGACTCCATCCAGCTGGACATAATAGGTGAGCGACCTCCCCTCCCTTCTTACTCCACAGTGTTGGGAGTGGGGCAATTCCTTTATCAGCAGTTTGCAAAATGTGTAAAAGTCACCAGGAGAAAAACATGGCTCAAGATACAAATACAGTCAGCTTGGTGGTGGATGCATGTTAATCTCATGATAAAATAACGTGTAAGCTGAGCACGGTGCTGCGTGCCTTTAACCCCAGCCAGCACACCAGAGCTAGAGACAGGTGATTGTCTATGAGTTCCCAACCTCCCTGGTCTTTGATTAGCAGCACCGGCCACTGTATGCTGAAGACTGACGTTCCCACTCTGTCAGGGTGACTCTGCAAGTAAAACCCAGACTGGGGCCATTAAGCAACATCATGACATATGACCCTGAGGAATCCACAAGTAAACCCCAGGCTCTGGGACACTAATTTGCTCACAGGTATCTGAGCCTGTTCCAGGCAGTGGAGTTTAAACCAAAATCAAACCAGTCCTTCTCACAGAGTCCTGGAGCTCCTGGGCAGGAAGACAGAGCAGAAAAGACCTGAGGGACTGAGGGAGTGAGGGGTTGGCTGTGCAGACACCCGAGAACTCAGTTTCATTCAGTAGAAAGATTCAGGGGTACTGAGGAATGGGGGTGATGCTCCTGACCTCCCCCCAATTGGACACACACCAAGGTTGAGAGTTGAACACACTCAGGTTTCAAATTTCTACCAAATGCAAAGATCCTAATATTGATAAAGTTTTCCCTCTTCCCCTTAGCCTCTCCCAGCACTGCCCAAGTCTCTGTAGAAGTAGTTATATCTCACGTCGCTGAAGTGAAGGACATTCTTCTGCGTGTCCATAATCTGCCAGATACAGCCCAAGCCTTTTTCTGGTACAAGGGAAAAAAATTGGATAAGAGAAATGAAATTGCACGATTTCTAGAATCCAAAAGAACAAATAAAACAAGGCCTGCTTACAGATTCAGAGAAAAAATACACCACATTGGATCCTTGCTCTTCCAGATCGTCACTCAGAAAGATGCAGAAGACTACATGTTACGTATGAAAATGGAAAACCTTGACCTCAGGAAGGCATCCATGCACGTCCATGTGCACCCTAAGTAGTTCTCTGTAATCTCTGGTGGAGGAAGCCGTGCTGTCACCCCTGGGAATGGCACATACATGGTTTGCAATTGGAGCTCTTTAGAAGGCAAAGCACTTTGAAGAATCCCACCCATTTGTCAAGGACCTACGGAAACGATACTGCAGACCTCTGTGCTGATCCCAGGGCTGCATGGGCTTCAGGCCCCTCTAACTTCCCCTGTGTTTATTCCTAGGGTGACTCTTAGTTCTGCTTTGTTAGTCGTGATTGTGCCTGAGTTTACTGGGAATTAAAGACTCTGCAGAAAAATTAAATTTCTCTGATGCGTTACAGAAACCAGTTTCTCCTCTTGCCCCTGGCTGCCTTTGCAGTCATCCTGAGTGAGCAGGAGGAGCTCACTAAGGTTAATGATTATTGCTTTTTCAGTCCCCAAAGAGATAAATATCCTACAAAGAACTTAGAACATGGTTTCTTAAAGGATGACATTAAAAACTTACAGAAACATATAAGGAAAAGATATAGGACACAAAAGGTCAGGCATTTCTCCCGCCAGGACGTGAACACTCAGATATTCTTCCAGTGTCAACTTGTCAATAAAGGAATCTAAAACTCCCAGTTCCCTAAAGAGAAAAGTACAGGTAGAAATTGTCAGGAAGAATAGGAATTTAGTCCAGCAGTTAAAGCGTTAGGTATTAATCATTACTATTTTCAGAACTTAAAAAGATTTGAATTATAACTGTAGTCCACATAAACGTGATACACAGATTACTTAGAAACTGGCATACACCTGAAAATGATATCCTAGGTGTGACAATACACTCAGCTGGTGACAAAGATATGAAAGTATCACAGTGTGAAGAGCTAATCGCAGGGCTTTAGTCTCTTAGTTTGTAATCAGATGTTACCGCCAGCTAGATGTGCCTGGCCGGATATAAACATTTGACTTGCACTATAACGATATGGGGTAAAGGTCAATGATGACAAGGGAGTGGGAAGAAGAAAAACTGAAATGAATAAATGTTAATGATTCTTGGAAAATGATTAATGAGAAATGATTTGAAACTGCTCATGCTTGAATGCATTAGAACTTCTGTGAATATAGACAGCCTGAACTAGTTGGGCCATCGGTTTGAAACACAACAGGTGGCCAGAATCTTCATTCTTTGCCAACTTCACACATCCATCCTGTGACACAGAACCCCCCGGGCCTGGACTCCAGCACTCTGTGTCATGGGTGGACCAAATCCTACTTCACACATAGGATTGTCAGCCCTGGATGACTCTGTGTTATGGTCCCCACACCGTGGTTCAAGCATTTAGTGAAGGACATAGAATGGAAGGAACAATAAATCAGGCTGCCTCATTTGAATCTACCCTCAAGAAGAGGGGGTGAGTTAACTTACAAGAATCAGAGGCACCACACAGGGCAACCTTCTCTCTGTTGTCTGCACACTCAGCACTGCTACCCAAGCCCAGCATCACAAGCAACAATTCCAAGGTGAGGACTCAGTAGTATTAATGTGTGAGCCTAAGACTCATGGTGCTATGAATACATTACTAGTACAACCACTCTAGAAGAAAGTTTGATAATTTCTCCTAAAGTCAAACACACACTTCTACAACCCAGCCATCTCATGGGATCACTAGATATTTATTTATCAAAAAAAACCATAAACACATGCACAGAGTTGTACATGAATGTTAACAGCATCATAATACATAACAACTAACAATCTGAAAAATTCATCAACAGAGAAACTGAACAGGTCATCGTGTGTCCACAGGTAAAAATATTCAACTACTAGTGAAGAGATAAATGTGTTAAACAAAATGCATGGATCCTGCTGGATACTATGACACACAGCTGAGCATTTGAGCCCAAAAAGTCTAAGTCATCCTAAACAGAAAAATTCTATCTCAAGAAACAAAAGATGAGGAATTAGTGAGTTGTCTCCAGAATTAAGAGTACTTGCCGCTCTACCAAAGGACCAAGTTTGGTTCCCAGCACATATGTTGGGCAGGTCAAATTCGCCTGTGACTCCTGTACCAAAGGATGAAACACCATCTTCTGGCCACTATGTACATATGTGCACATTACTGCACACACACACACACACACACACACACACGTACATTAAACATATGCAAAATTAATCTTTTGAGAAAAGATAAATTTTAACAATATCACCCATACACACAAGGAGCACAATGATGCCATTTAAATTTTCAAAAGCAGATAATTCTAATTACTAGTGCTAAGAATTCACAGTTGGGAGCTAGAGAGATAGCTCAGTAAATAGCTGTGGATGCTCATCCAAAGAACCCATGTTTCATTCCCAGCATCCACATGGAGGCCCATAGTCATCTATAATTCCAATTCTAGGGGAGTCTCTTCTAGTTTTCCTCAGGCACCAAGGCACACAGTGGTACACAGGAGAATATGCAGATAAAATATTCACATATATAAAAATTTTTATTATGTTTTTAAAAAGAATTGACACTTGAAGGTGGGATATACTGCAAAGGTAGTCAAAGAGATTTTGGAGTCAAATCACACATCATAATTCAAGTGGTAATTACATATTTACCAAAATTCAGGGTGTAAGTTGACATGGTTGTTAGTGAGGAGGCTAGTGCAGGAGAATTGCTTGAGCCCAGGAATTTGAGACCAGCCTAGGCTACATAGCAGAACCCTTAACACAAAAGAAAATATAGCTCAGAGACTAGAGCTCGCTCTCTTTTTCCATCTTCCTCTCTGAGAGGCAGCTTCGCTTCTGCCTCTCTTCCCTCTTCTCTGTCTCTTCCCCCCGTCTCTCTCTCCTCTTCTCTTCTCTCTCTCTCTCTCTCTCTCTCTCTCTCTCCCCCTTCTCCCTTTCCCTTCATAACCCTCTGAATAAATATTCAACCTCACTCTGTAAGTCATGTCTATCCATGTCTCTGTCTTCTGCCCACCCGCCATGTGTCTCCATGCCTGGGACCAGCCACTGCTCGGGGACTGGCAGCCATCTCTGCATGGGACTGGCTGCTCCCAGGGCCTGCTGCCTACTGCCACCATTTGAGACCTACAGCATTTCTGCTGCCTACTGCCGCTGGGGGTCTTGCAGCATTTTTTAAAAAATTATAAAGCCCACCCTCCAGTTCTCTATCAAACTCATGGGCTCTTTGAAATGAAATTTATTTTTAATTGACATAAAAACATAAAATTGTACAGAATAATAGAAAACCTTTGTAGCATGAATTCTAATTGGCCCTAATGATAAAAACTCAGTCAGCCATCAGGGATAAAAGCTGAAGGGTCAGAGAATCAGAGCAGCCAGGCACTGAGACTAAAGGGGCGATCCTGTCCTCAGACTCACTGCTATAAGCTCCTGTCCCGTACCACGTTATATTCCTCTCTCCAGCCAGCCATACACCTTCCTGTCTCTGTCTCCCGAGTGATGGGATTAGAGGTGTGTGCCACCACTACCTGGCCTCTATGGCTAACTAGTGGCTTCTGCACTAGTTAACTGCACTCTGATCTTCAGGCAAGCTTTATTTGTTAGATCATAAACAAAATACCATCACATTCCCTTTTTTGTCTAATGTAAAAACTAATAGAAGAAAAACTATATACAATTAGTACAGTAACTATATACAATATATACTGGCAATACATACATCAACAATGTCTAGTCCATTTGCATCTAACAAATTCAGGGAAACTACTGCATTATCTACCCTATCTCGGTGAGTCCAAAGGGTTATACCTAATTTACTTTTGATTCAAACTTGAACTACCAACTCAAAATTATCTTTTTATGTCTCTCAAACTTACATACTTTAAATTGCTTCTTTTCATTCTTATGGCTTTATATTTGAATATTAAAATAATTTACATCTTATAAAAAGAAATTATCTCTTGAAAGGGAGAAAAGACACTATTAGTACAATTTAAAAAACACTATTTGTAGTAGAGCACTCACTCATAAGTGGATACTAGCTGTAAGTAAAGGATATTGAGCCTATAGTTCATGATCCTAGAGAAGCTAAGTAACAAAGTGAAGCCTAAGAAAAACATACATAGATCCACCTGGAAAGGGGAAATAGAAAAGATCACCTGAAAAAATTGGAGCATGGGGGAGGGGAGAGAAGGGATGGTGAAAGAAGAGGAGGGGGAGAAGAATTTGAGGGAACAGGGTAGTTGAGATGGAAGAAAGACAGAGATGAGAGCAAGGAAAGAGATATTTTGATTGAGGGAGACATTATGAGACTAGCAAGAAACCTGGCACTAGAGAAATTCCCAGGAATCCACAAGGATGACCCAGCTAAGACCCTGAGTAATAGAGGAGAAGGTGAGCAAAATGGCCTTGACCTGTAGTCAGATTGATGAATATCTTAAATGTCACCATAGAACCTTCATCCACCAACTGATGGAAACAGAGGCAGAGACCCACAGTGGAGCACTGGGCAGAGCTCCCAAAGTCCAGCTAAAGAGTAGGAGGAGTGAGAATATGAGCAAAGAGGTCAAGACTATGGTGGGGACACCCACTGAACAGTTTACCTGAGTTAATGGGAGCTCATCAACTCCAGCCAGACAGGGAAGGAACCAGCATAGAACCAAACGAGATCCTCTGAATGTGAGTGACAGTTGCATGGCTGGATCAGACTGCAGGGCCACTGGCAGTGGCACCAGGATTTATCCCTACTGCTTGTACTGGCTTTTTGGGAACCTATTCTCTTTGGATGGATACCTTGCTCAGCCTAGATATAGTAGAGAGGGCTTTGCACCGTCCCCAAAGCAATGTGCCTTACCCTCTCTGAGGAGTGGATGGAGGGTGGAGTGGAGGATAGGTAGAGGGAATAGGAAGAGAGGAGAGAGTGAGAACTGAGATTGGCATGTAAAATAAATAAAGATAGTTCGTTTACTTTTTTAAAAAAAGAAAATAACCACCGTTTGCTGCTCTCACAATAGCAGACAGCTGTGAACTACATGCTACTAGCTTGCCCTTTGTGTCATTTCTACACAGTATGGCAAATACACATGAAACACTCTGCAAAGTCCTAAAATTTCCCTTTGAAACATATAACTAAGTTTTGGCAAACCTCAACCTAATTATCCTTTAATCTTAGTTGCTGAATGGCTGGACACTCTGCTCCATCCATCTGTTCTAACAATGACCTCATTGAATTTCACAGACTTCAGATACTTTTATTGAATTTAATTTTAAATTGT